GATAATGAATGTAAAATTAATGTTCTCCCATGTAAACTATCACATAATTCACAATAAAACATTTAAGAAGAAAAAAAAAGAGTTGAAGATTTAAAATAAAAATAAAAAGAACTATCAAAAGAAAAAAAAAGGTAACAGAGGTAAATACTGTTAGCTGATGGTATCTGGAGGGGATTGTAATCATTGCAATGATTTGTTGAATGTAAAACTGATGATTTGCCCAATAACCCTTCATTCAATTCACAATAAAAGCTTTAAAAAAAAAAAAATCAAATCGACAAATAATTGAAACCAATGTTTCACATAGTATGTTTTGGGGAAAAATAGGAACTTGAGCATAATACATGAAAAGTAGGTATGGGGTCAACTGAATATAGGTACGGAACAAGGCTGAACAAGGTTAAACAAGTTTCTTTATATCTTTCTCAGAGGCTTCAATATAATAATGTGTACTGTGAATTCCCAAAAGAAGTATACACTACACAGTGTGTCCCAAAGGTATTTTAGAGATGACACAGGACTCAACTTAAAGAGGGTCCTATGTCAAAAAACACTGTTGCAGAGCAGATGATGCAGATGATGGCACAAGTCTAACAGGATTGTTTCTCTATGAGGGAGTTTCAAAAATTCATGGAAAAATTATATTATCTTTTAATGAATTCTTCCACAAACTTTTTGCAGCTGCCTTGTATATTTTATTTTCGCATCCCTATTTGGAAAAGGTAATTATGCCTTTTATTTTACATATCTTCTTTAAGAACATAAAAGAGAATCTTAATTGTTAGCAAATCTTGACTTACCAAAGAAAAATGAATATTGGTCAGATTTTAAGTTCAAACCTACAAGCTGCTCTGTGGAAACCCTGTACATGGTTGCTATGAATCGGAACCAACTCAACGGCGCTTAACAACAATAACAGTCACCTAAAAGAGTTGATCGCACCTTCTGAAAACTATCAACTAACTCTCTGAGGAATAGTCAACTAAAAGGGAGTAATTTCTTTCCTGTTAAGAGACTTAGAATACAGTCCTGGACTCTCACACTTAACGACCATGCTACGTTTTGCACATCATATGTTATTCCAAATGCTCAATTTAATTATAAAGTAAAATGCTGGACTCCATGAGCTCTGACTCTTTCAGCTCTAAATATGCTATAATCCACATTATGACACTTAGCCTTTATTAAACAAAAGTAAAAGAGCATTTTTTAAAATACCGATTATATATTTTCGAAATCATCTTGAAGAATGGTTATTTTTATTTGCACATCTCCTCTCATACTTCCACCAAAAACATTAAAAATCTTAAATGTGAGATGCATTTTGATAAAAAGTAGATCTTTATGTCCTCTATAGTCTGAAGTGTAGTCCTGGTGTGGCGCTGTAGGATCAGCACTGGACAGCTAACCACAAGGTCATCAGTTCAAAACCACCAGTCACTCCTCAGAAATCCTATACAAGGTCCCTATGAGTTGGAGCTAAGTCGACAGCACTTAACAACAATAACAACAGTGTTCGGAAATAAGGAATCCTGTTGGTGTATAGGAAATTAAGCTCTGTGTTGCTAACCACAAAGTTAATGGTTCAAGCCCAGCAGTCACTCCACAAGAGAAAGATGAGGCTTATCTGCTTCCATAAAGATTTATAGTCTTGGAAACTCTATGGAACAGTTCTACTCTATAGGATTTCTATGAGGCAGAATTAATTTGACAGCAGTGGTATTTTGGAAGAGGCCAACAGATGACAGCTCAAACCAGCTGCCTTTGAGTTCACTCCAACTCTTGACAACTCCATCTGCATCATAATAGAACTGTGCTCTATATGGTACTCAAAGGCTGATTTTTCAGAATAAGATTTCCAGGCTTTTTTTCTGAGGTACCTCTGAATGGCCTCAAACCTCTAAACTTTTGATTAGTAGTGTGAACTGTGTGTACCAGTTAGGTAATCCATTAAATAGCTGAAAGCAAAGGATTATCATTCAGTCAGAAGGAAGGCATATGGACATGTTGTGTTGCTCCAATTGTTAATTATTTCTAAAATCAAAGTTTAGCTGTGAACATCATGAAAGAACAATGTTCCAGGGGTCAAGAAGAAAGATGTGATGATAGCATGTAATGAGGGTTTTTTAAGAAATTTAATTATTTACCTGTAGTGGCCCCAAGATGGAGCTGGTTGTATACATAAAGAAGAGTCGAAGATAACTCAGAACATTTGCGAATGCAAAAAGTCCTTCTGCCACCAGTGTAGGATGAAATGCATCCCAGTCCTTCCGATCAGCAAAATCATGAAACTAAGATTAGAAAGCAAAAAATACAGAGGTAAATAGCTCCTTCAATTTAGGAATATAACACAAATATTCTGGTAGTTGAAAGAAAATTATTTAAATTATTTATGTCCTTCTGTGGATTGCCTTTTATAGAGTTCTCCTATTAAATGGAAATAACAATATTTTAACTAAATAAAGGATTTTTACATATGAGTATATGAGACAATATCACTTAACTTTGTGAGAAGGGGCTTCAAAAAGTTCGTGGAAAAACTGAGTTTAAAAAAATAATGGGATTTTTCCATGAATTTACTGAAGCCCTCTCATACCAAGAAGTTTTCAGAAAAATTCTGTTTTAAAAAAGAAAACATATTTTTAAAATTATCATCAAACATTTTATGAATTAGATGCTGGCTCCTTTTTCTTAAATCCCACCACATAAACTCATAGTATATGCGTTGACTCAGAATTCCAGGATAAGCCATAGAGATTCCTTCTTTTTCTGTTTAAATTCTTTTAAAGAAAACGACTGCAGTGTAATACCTAGATATGTACTATTGAGTAGGTTCTAACTAATACCGACGTGTATAGGTTTTCTGAGAGCTACTGGTGGGTCTGAAATGCCAACCTTATAAGCACTAGCAGGCCAGTGCTTATCCTACAGCACCCTACTAGATATGAAGTAGTCATAAGTCCCAGTTGCCTGGGACAATCCCCAATTATATAGCAGTTGCCCTAAAATAAGTGACCTAGTTTGGACAATATGTTACATGGGGGCTCCACTTGTAGTACTAGAGAATTCAGTTTGAAAAAGCAACATCCCTCAACCTACACCTATCAAACCATTTATCCATGTATCATCAATTTCTTGTTTTCTTAGAAATTTCATATTCTAGACATTAAATGTAATTAAACAAATATTGTCTGTATTACCAGTTAGTCAAAGGAATAGAATTTTGAATACAGTAAAATGATGTAAGGTAACTCGTTCTCTTTTTCTATTATCTATGTATCTATTATCTATACACTAGCAAAAAAACAAAACCAAAACCAGAATATTGTTATTTTATTTATTTGAATGTCATGCCCTCAAAGAACTCTAAACTCAGGGTTTAAATAAAGATATACAATATGTTGCCTTTCTGGGCTTGGGGGAGCTTACATCCTGAGATTGAAGCAATGTATATATAATATATGTTGTTGTTTTTAAACGCCATCCAACTGGATCCGACTCATAACGACCCTGTATATGATTTCTAAGGAACTGGTGTGTTTGAACCACTGATCCTGTAGTTCAAATCAACCTTGTGGTCCAGTGTTGCTTACCCTACAGTGCCATATACCAGTACTCCTGTATGTGTGTCTGTCTGTATGTGTGTGTATAAAATATTTTTTTAAGTTTTATTGTGAAATGAGTGATAGTTTACATGGGAGAACTTCTGTTTCACACTCATTGTTTCATTGCAATGATTACAGTCTCCTCCATACATCATTATTAAACAGTATTTGCTTCTATGTTCAATGGCTTCTGTGGGTAATTTTTAATCAAATTCTAAATAAAAGTTGGTACAAGAAAAATATTACATTGGCATCACTTTATAAGCTGTGTAAGATAATCATAATTTGGAATATGTAAATTACTATATCATTAATTCCATTCAGATAAACTTTTTTTTCTGGAAGATATGACAGCTATGTAACACTAATTGTCTTAAGTTACCTTGTGTTCTTATTTTAAGTCTGTACAGGTGAGTGAGATCAATTAACCTAGCTCAGATAGAAGGAATTAGCATTTGGTAGAAAGAACATGACTAAACAAACTTGTATTTAAATCCAGACTTGGTTTCTTATTATACAGTCTTAGACTCGCTACTTAATAATCTCTGAGCTTCATTTTCATTGTTGGCAATATAAGGATAAGAACATCTGTCTCATAGGATCCCTGTGAGGATAAAATAAAGCATGTCAAATATCAGCCACAATGTCTGGCATATAACAAGTGACCAACATTTAGAGGTAATTAACAGCCTTTAAACTATTGGAAGGAGTCCTGGTATATTGCTGTGGTTAACGCGCTGGACTGTAAGGCTGGTTTGAACCTCAAGGCTGGCAGTTCAAACCCACTAGCCACTCTTCAGAAACCCTATACAGGGTTGCTATGTGTTGGAACTGACTCGATGGCACTTAACAACAACAAACTACTGAAAAGGAATAAAACAATGTGTATTACACCCTTGCATATGGATAGGTTTTACACCAGGCACCAGACACAGACATGGGCCAGTAAAACTCTGAGCTACATAACTAAATGTCTTCGTTATTTCCTAAAGAAACTTTACTTGTGCCTCCAACTGACATAGTTAACAGTCACCTTGTTATGAGCAACCATTTTGAGAGCAAAGGTTGCCAAATAAAGGGAATTCATGACAAAACTGAGTTGATTACGAGATTCTTCTAAAAAGTCTTCCAGCCCTTCATACCAGAGTCTTTTAATGTCTGACCAAATCATCCCTAAAAAAAAAACAACAAAAGACAAGTAACTTAATATTCTCTTAATTCAGCAATAAACTTCGTATACTTTAAGACTCAAAATACTAAGTAAATAGTACTTAAACTAGCTAGAGCCTCATTCTAAAGAAAAATCAACTTTTTAGTAAAAACGATCCATAATCTGAAAGAAAAAAAAACCCTCTTCAGGTTCATATGACAATGTCTGTCCCAGGAAGCAATTTTTTTTTAATGTTTTATTGTGAATTATGTGATAGTTCACATGGGAGAACATTAGTTTTACATTCATCCTATCGTATATCCTTTCATTGCCATGGTTACAATCCCCTCCATGTATCATCAACCAACCAAAGGGTACACCCTACAAGCCTGTCTCTCCCCCCACCCTGCTCGTCAGCACACAGCCCCTCTCCCTCTCTGGCTCTAAAGAAGTCCCCAACTGCTCCCTCTCTCCATATCATCGTCTCTGCCTCCATCTCTGGCATCACTGCTTCTCTGGGTAGGGTCCCACTCTCCAGTCTCCTCCCTTCATGGGTCCAGGGACCTCCGCTCCTAGACTGAAAAGTTAATCACTCCTCTCCTTGCTACAAAGCATTTACATTTCCAACCCTCACAAGCAGTCCTGATAACAATTATTCACTATTGTATCACAAGAGACCTGTCCACATTCCCTTTCATCAGCCCAGCCTAGACAAACTGGATATTACTCAGTGGAGATTCTACCTACCTCCATGCCCTCTGGATCTAGGTTCCCTCTTGAAAGCTTGTAAGCCAATCACTTCTTGCCTTTGTAGCTGCCCCCCCCCCCCCCCATTTTGGGTAGTCAATGTCCAAGTTGCCCATCCCTGTCTACTCTGTGTATGCTATAAAGATTTGTTCCCTCTTTTGAGCTACTGCATCCACAGATGTAGGTCAAGTTCATCAAATTGTATCAGATTACTCTTTTTTTCCACTTCTTTCTTCTTCTAGTTGAGCTCTGATCATCCGGTCATTGAACCCAGGTCAAATGGGTATTATCTGCAAGTGTCAAGAAGCTACCGAACATTGTAGGGCTTAACTTGCAGCTTTATTGCTGTTTTTCCCTCACTTCCCCTTATCGGTGATGAAATGTGGTCACCAATCAGAGCATGTGTTAGTCTTGGAAGGGGGTTTGCTCTGATGTCTCCTGTATAAGGGACTTGCTTATTCTTGGAATAATCAGTCAGTCTGCCTATATTGTTTTGTATTTTTCCTGTCAGTCTTTCTTTCAAGAAGTATCTTCTGTACTAGCCACTTCAGGCTGGTCTGCTTGTCTTTTCAAGAGGAAATTTCCCACCTCTGAAGATTATGGATACTGTTCAGGATTCCACCTATGGTCTTATGTAATGCAGAGGCTCCACAGGAAGCCTCCTTCACTGGGCATATTGTAGTCCCATTTTAGGTATTCCAATCTGTTATAGGAAGAAGACGGACTTACAAGCTTTCTATGGTGATATTTCTGGCTGTTCCTTTCTCTCCCCCTTAAATGTCTATTTTATAATGGTATGCTAGGGAAACCAAGATTTAAATGACAGCCAAGCATCTTAACATTATTTTCCCCCTTTTGCCCATTCCAACCATGTCTCAATCCCTGTATCCCAGAGCCCTGCTGTTCCAAGGTTGTGCCTACATCATTATTTACCTCTGTCCCACTTAGCCAATGCAAACCTGCCTAATTGTTCTCCCATCCACTTTGTTCTTCCATTCCAGGAAGCAATTTTAAGTGATATGCAACGAAAATAAGAATATACAAACAATTTAGTGCCAAGCATGCACATGTGCACACACACACAAATCCAGGGCTCAGCTCCCTTTTCTCTTCTCTATCTACCTTTAGTTATCTCATCCACTCTCATGGCCTTACTACCATCTGTATGGTAAAGATTCAAATGTATATCTAAACTTAACCTAAGGAGCCCTGGTGGAGCAGTGGTTAAGAACTCGACAACTAACCTAAAGGGCAGTGGTTCAAACCCAGCAGCTGTTCTGTGGGAGACAGATGCAAAATTCTGTATCTATAAAGATTTACAACCTTGGGGACAGTTTTACCTATAGGGTCACTATAGAGCCCTAAATGGTCACTATGAGTGGGAATCAGCTAGACAGGTATGGGTTAAATTAACCTATATTTATATGATAACTTAAATTTCTAAACCTCTCTCCTAAAGTTTAGGCATTTGGCTACTCTATATCTCCAACTGGATATCTAACAGACATCCTAACAAGCCCACATTTAAATTCTAATCTCTCTCTGCAAATATACTGCACTTGCAGACTTCCCCATATGAGCTGAAGGCAATTCCACCCTTCCAATTGCTCAGTCCAAATGTCCTTGAATCATCCATGACTACACTACTATCAATCCCACATTCAATCCAATAGCAACTCCTTTTGATTTTATCTTCAAAATGTATTTATACTCTAACTTCTCTCACTACCCCTTCAACTGTAAGTTACCATCCTCTCTTGCCTGGATTACTGAAATAGCCTAACTGATCTCCCTTATCTCCTGGTGTGTGGCATTGTAGGTTAATGTGCTAGACTGCAAAGTCAGTTTGAACTGCAAGGTCGGTGATTCAAGCTCACCAGCTACTCCTCAGAAACCCTACACAGGGTCACTATGGGTTGAAACTGACTCCACGATACTTAACAACAACATCTCCCAAATGCTTTTCTCAACACAACGTGATTCTGAAAAGAAGATCATTACTTCTCTTGAGACCCTTATGATTAGGCCCTGAGCTCAGAGAAGGAACTAACATAATAGCACATCTGAACTTTCTACCATGGGAACATAACTTCAGGTTGTTGTTAAGTGCCGTGGAGTAGGTTCCAACCCATAACAACCCTGCATAGGGTTTCCTAGGAGTGAATGGTGAGCTTGAACCACCAACCTTGCAGATCAAACCAACTTTTCAGTGTAGTGCATTAACCCACAGCACCATAGTTGTCATCTACTAAAATGGTTTCCTTGGAAATACCTTATGGAAAGAAAAATAAGGGAGGTCAGCTGTGCTCAACACTGTTGTAAAACACAAAACAAAGAACCTCATGGTCACGGTTTGGGAAACTGTATCTAGTCTAGGAAGGCTAGAATTGGATTCAAAAGCTCTGAAGTTATCCATTCCCAGGACCATAAAAACATTTGAGAAACAGGCCTTAGCTTTTCTGTGTGATGTCTTTCTAAATTCCAAATGAACCTATTGTTGTTAAGTGCTGTCAAAGCGGTTCCAAATTATAGTAACCCAGTGTAATGTTTTCAGGGAGCAGCTGCTGAGTTTGAACTGCAGACTTTGCAGTTCAAATAACCTTGCAATTAAGTGCTTATCCTACAGTGCCACACCAGGGATTTTATCTGCTACTAATGTCTCCTGCCAGCACTCATCTGTCAGTTTGTCTAACTGTGGTGGCTTGTGAATGGCTGTGATTCTGAAAGCTATGCCATGGGTATTTTACTTTCTAGCAGGGTCACCCATGGTGGGCAGGTTTCAGATGAGCTTCCAGACAAAGACAGCCTAGGAAGAAGGAGTGACAAACTACTTCCAAATATTTAATCACTGAAAACCTTATGAATAGCAGAGAAACACTGTCAGATATTGTGCCAGAAAATGAACCCATCAGTTTGGAAGGCACTCAAAATGAGACTGGGAAGAGCTGCCTCCTCAAAGTAGAGTTGACCATGATGACGCGAATGGAGTAAAACCCATGGGAGTAAAGTCCACGGGGCCTTCATTTGCTGATGGGGCACAATTCAAAATGAAGATAAACAGTTGTAAAACTCCTTTAATAATCGGAACATGGAATTACGAAGTATGAATCTAGGTAAACTGGAAACTGTCAAAAATGAAATGGAATGCATAAACATCGAAATCTTAGGGATTAGTGAACCGAAATGGACTGGTTTAGGCCATTTTGAATCTGACAACCACATGGTTTACTATGCTGGGAATGACAAATTGAAGAGGAATGGTGTAGCTGCTGCATTCATTGTCAAAAAGAACATATCCAAATCAGTCATGAGGTACAATGCTGTCTGTGATAGGACAATATCCATGCGCCTACAAGAAAGACCAGTTAATACCACTGTTATTCAAATTTACACACCAATCACTAAAGCCAGTTCGGATAAAATAGAAGAACTCTACAAACTTCTTCAATCTGAAATTGATCAAACATGAAATCAAAATGTATCGATCATTACATTTTGGGAATAAAGAGGAAGGATTAGTAGTTGGAAAATATGGCCTTGGTTACAGAAATGATGCTGAAGATCACATAATACAATTCTGCAAAATCAATGATTTGTTCATTTCAAATACCTCTTTTAGAAACATAAGAGACAATTATACACATAGACCTCACCAGATGGAATACACACAAATCATATTGACTACATCTGTGGAAAGAAATGATGGAAAAGCTCCATATCATCAGTCAAAACAAAGTCAAGGGCAGAACGTAGAACAGACCATAAATTACTCATATGCAAATTCAAACTAAAGCTGAAGAATATGAAAACAAGTCCACACTAGGCAAAATATGACCTTGAATATATCCCACCTGAATTTAGAGATCATCTGAAGAACAGATTTGATACATTAAACACTAAAGACCAAAGACTAGAAGAGTTGTGGGATGACATTAAGAACACCATACATGAAGAAAGCAAAAAGTCATTAAGAAGACAAGAAAGAAGGAAAAGATCAAATTGGATATCAGAAGAGACATTGAAACTTGCTCTCCAGTGTAGAGATGCTAAAGCAAATGGAAGAAATGAGGAGGTCCAAGAGCTGAACAGAAAATTTCAAAGAT